AGTGGGAGTGTAGATTGGTGCAGCCATAATGGAGGACAGTACAGAGGTTCCTTAAAAAACCAAAAATAGACTTACCATATGATCCAGCAATCCCACTCTTGGAAATATATCTGGAGAGTAATATAATTCAAAAAGATGCATGCACCCCAGTGTTCATAGCAGTACTATTTACAATAGCCAAGACATGGAAACAATCAAATGTCCATCAACACGTGACTGGATAAAGAAGTGGTACATACATACAGTGGAACGCTACTCAGCCATAAAAAAGAATAATACCATTTGCAGCAACATGAATGGACCTGAAGATCATCATTTAAGTGATGTGGGCTTTAGAGAGAAAGAAAAATGCCGTATGATATCACTTATAAGTGGAATCTAAAAAAAGATAATAAAAATAAGGACACAAATGAACTACTTATTATTTATAACTTAGATGATTAATTTCTTGAATATGTGTAAGCACATTTGACTGTCCTTTATAATTGGATTACCACATTCTGCTGATTCTTAGTGTTTGGGTTTATTGCTTTGACAACTATGTAAGTTTAAAAAGCTAAAGCTCTAATCTGTTCTTAGAAACAATGATCAGTATATATATGTAAACTAAAACAAAATGTGCAGTATACTGTATATATGTATTTACATGCAATATAATGTATATGTGCAGTCAAACTGTAATAATTATACCTAATAAAACTGAAACTGGGGAAAAAAAGAAAAAGAAGAACTTTCAAATGTTTAAACTTATATTCAAATTTATATACAGTAAAATTCACTCTTTTGGTGAATTCTTGGTTGTTTAACACCAGCAGAAGCAATATACATCATCCCCCCAAAATTCCTGCATGCATTCCCTTTGTATTTAACTAGAATGAAGTGCTTTTTAAATTTAGTTTGTATACTCTGCTGCCTTATCCAATATTGAATAATACCATTATTGATGTTGTTGGCCCCAAACTTTTTTGTAAAGCGTTAAGAAGCCACTTAGTACTTAGAAATCATTGTGTTCATTTAAATCAAATATTTTCTGAAAGCGTCCATTCTTTAAGTCAGAAAATTAAGCATAATAAATAGGTTAAAAGCAAAATTCTGATACTCTGGCTTCCTTTCCACTTTGAAAATAAGAAATAGATTGTAAACTACTGTCTTTTCCCTATTGCAGAATTTGATACATTTATCTCTAGAATGTTCCATATTAGATTTTAATATATTACATTAAGTATAGAGATTTATGCCTACATGAATATTTCTTGGTCAAAGATATTAAATGAAATCTCCAGGCATATAGTTGTCCCTTGGCTTCTCTTCTGTTCAGTTCACTGATAGCAATTGAGGTACAATACTCAAGAAATGGAAAGTAGTTAAACTAGCAAAATTGTTCCCCAACGTTCCTTAACTTATCTTTGGTTGATAAATAAGTACATAGTCTATTTCTATAAATTATTATATATTTTTCTAATTACTATGTTGTTGTAAAACTATTCTCTTGTTTTTGCAGTTGTACGTATACTCAGTATTTAGATTACTTTTTTCCAGTTTAATAATTTAAAAGAGATAACCCCCCACAGCTTGTCCTTTAACTTGATCAGCGTCTCATCCCTTGACTTTCTTGTTTTCAGTGATCTTTTTCTTTCTCTTGATTAAATTCTGTATTTTCAACTTCACTATTTTTGCTAACTTCTTCCTGTTACCATTTAAATATGTTCAGGTCACTTCCATTTAAAAAAAAAATAGTTCCCACCTCTGACCCCGTATCTTTAGTACCTTCCCACTGTATATCACTCATTCTCCTCCCATTTCTAGTCATACTTTTATGCGGCAGTATCAACGAAGTAGTTGTCTGTTGTGTGCCTAGCACTATTTAGATACTTGTGATACACCAGTGGAAAAAAGACTTAAGTGTGGTTACTTTTAACTAGCAGGATTTCCACTGTCCCACTTGCACCTCTGCAGACTGCAGTCTGGCATTCTGCCCCGCACTAACCTTCCCTGAAGCAACCTTCTTATTTGCTATATCCGAAAGTTCCGCTCACTTATCTCACATGACTTTTCAAATATCATTTGTCTTTAAAACTATCTTTGCTGGGTTTCTGTGACTTCCCTGTATTCTTTCCTGCCTCTGACTATTCCTCTTTAGTCTTCTTTGCAAGATCTGCTTTCTCTGACTTATCTTTCAGATTTCCCTAGCTCAGGCCTTCTTCCATGTTTAGGAAATCTTAGCTCTTGTTTTTTGTTGCTTTCATGGCTAATTGCCCCAAAGATTTTTATCTCCATCCAAGATTTTTTTTCTGGATCCCCAGACTTCCAGACAGCCCACTAGACAACTCTAAGATGATTTGAAGAGCTTCATAGTTCATATACCTAAAGCTCAGTTTGTCAACATCTATGTTGTCCTGTCTTTCAAGGCTGTTCTTTACACCAACACATAATAATTCAATGAATGACCTCACCATCAGCTCAGTTCTGCTGCTTAAATCTCTCTTCACAACCAGTCATGAAGGATTGTTTGCTTCTTTGCTTTAAAAAAAAGATAATGTATGTATCTCTGTTATCCCTTTCTTGTCTTTGATTAAGTGGCACAACCTCTCCCAGGAATTCTGCCTTGATCCCCTAGTTAAAGCTCAGTTGTCTAGAAATATATTCCCATGGTACTGCACCTTATTAGGCCACTCTTCATACTTCACTGTAATTTTTAATGTACCTGTCTCCTTGTAAGCTCAATGTGGTGAAGATAACTATGACTTTTGCTAACTGTGGAGTCTTGATGGCACTTAGCACAGCAACTAAGTGAATGGATTGCTCTAACAGTTTTGTTTCACCTCTAAATCTATGCTTCTTTATCTTTTGGAATTAAAACTCCTTTATAGGAGAATTTGTAAGAGACTAGTGTACTTTTGAAAAAACGTACCTACAGAAATAGATAAAATTGTGCATACTTTCTCAAGGAATTAACAGATAATTCAGAAGCCCATTTATGGGACCTAGCTTGAGAATCATTGCTAAAATGCAAATGAGATGCCTATTACTTTAAAAACTATCAGACAGGTTTTTGCTCATTAGACCTAAGTTTATCCTTAGTTGAATCTTGAATAGGAACAGGGCCACTTCATATTATGTTTTTCTTAACAGTTACCAGTTTTTATTGACACATTTCAAAGTGAAAATTTGAAGCAGTCCTATTGATCACGTTACATTTATACACTAGATTTTAAGAGAACGCCTCACTGGGAATGTGTAAACTTAAGAAACTACATCATAGGATATAATTTCCATAGAGTACATATTTCGGAAATTTTTTCCTGTTTATAATATACTGTATTGTGTTTGGTTTCTTTATATCTTTTCAATTTCATTGGCTTCTCTCTCTCATTTTGAAATAAATGAGTGTAGATCTTGCTTTCTGAAAACAATCTAATTGAGATTCTCATTCATGTTTTCTCTTGGGCTGCTTACCCAGGGGAATATTCTGGTGTGTATGCTTTTAAATACTTTATTATTACTGCCTTTTAAAGCTAGGTGTTCTTGGCCGCTGTTCTCATTTAATGCTTTCTCATTATTTTTTTCTGCTCAATTATTATTATTATTTTTTTGCCCTGCACATATTTTCAGCTTTTATGCTTATGTGCCTATGTGCTTGAGAGTTTAGCAAACATAGTCATTATATAAACTTTCTTTCAGCCAACCTCAACCCTGTTTCCTCTGACTCTATAGCTTTATTGAAAAGTTAACACTAATATTTAAAGTATTTCACGTATCTTGCCAAAATTCTTTTTTGAATTGAAATTTGGAAATTTTTTTCAGTTTGTCTTTATTTTCAGTTTTTAGAGAATACATAGATAGATGATTAAATAAGCTACTGTCTCTGATATCTATTCTTCATGGTAGAAGTACCCTGTTCTTTGAGAATATTTGAGATAATTACAATTTATAATATATAAAATATGAGTCCGTGTGTGAGCATTGAGTTTTTAGCATTCCTAGATTGGTTTTGGTTTAAATTATCTTTAAGTCATCTGAAATATTACCTCTTTTTGAAAATAAGTGGACATGGTAACTCCTTTATCTTATGTTGTTTTCTTTTGAAATATTTTCTTCCCTTTTTAGGGGTGTGTTTTATGTATTACTTCTTTCATTGTATGTGATTTTCCAACATTAACCTATCTTACAGGACTCATTAAATTATTAGGCACAGTTCTATAAATTAACAACTAAACAGAGGTGGCAATTTGAAGAAACCTTATAGTATTGATCTGGGATTTTTCACTCTATATTCGATTTTATTTTGACAAAGTATTGGTAAAGCATTTGTTAAGGTATGACTTACCAGAGCATCCTTATGAATGAAAGACATCATCTTAATTTCTGTCTTTTGCACATCATTATGCCTTAAATCATAACATTGTGATTTCAGATGTTTTTCATATCATGCATAAAACTTACAGATTAATGATCAATTTTAGTGCTGTTTCTTATATAAAACATTTCTTGTTCTTTGTTTTTGCTTTACATGGAATGCATGGGCTTTAAGACCATAATTTCTTTGGTAAGGTTTCATCTGCATTGGAGTTCAGTCTTTCTTATTTCTGCCTGTTCTCTGTTAAGACCTAGTTTTTAGGCAAAGGCCTACCATATCAGATGTGATTTGAAAACAGTTTTTGATCTATATTAATGCTATTCTTTTTTCCCCATAAATACTGCTGCTTTTTAAAATATTTGGCAGAAAAGTCTTTATTCCTTTGAAATACTGTCTATGAGAAACAAAATACAGACTAACAGTTATAAAAAATTGGCTACGAAATCTTTAGCTTTGTTTTTGGTAGATAATTATAATTTTATAGTCCATACAATTAAATATGTCAAATGAAATTATAGACAAAATGAGATTACTAAAGGACAGGTAAAATTTATAAAATTAAGTTTGTGACTATAGCTTACTGTAAGTTTATATGATTTTGATAAATTTATTTTCAAACTTTTTAATCTTTTTTCTTTGATAGGAATGGGTCGTGAAGTTGAGAATCTTATATTAGAAAATACACAACTATTGGAAACCAAGTAAGTATTTACAAAATTTTAACAGTGAACAAATACTGAATTTTCTTCTCATCAAATCAGTGGCACTTCTTTAATTTAATACAGCACAAATGCAGTCTCACTACCCCATCTCCTTCCCCTTCTCTGCGTATGGGCTTGTATGTGCACACGTACACAAATAGTTAATGGGACCTTATCTCATTGATAGGTATGTTTCATTGCTCTGTTTTTTTCAGAAACAGATTTTGATCTCCTTTTTACCCTACAAGTATCCATGCCTTTCTCTTAATCTTCTGGTTGTGTCCTTTGTGGTTTTTGCTCCCTCCAATGGGATTTCTATTTTCTTACCTCTCCTCTTGGGGCTTCTGTTATTTCTGTATAAATGTTTTGATCTATACCAGTCTTCCTGTTCAGCACTGTCCTCCACAGTTGCAGGGTCTCAGATGCAACTTGAGACGTCTTAGGCTCTCAAACACGCTGGAGTTTTGTTTAGTGTGATGCGGACTGAGTCACGTGGAAGAGCAGATCAGGCCCCTTTGTTAATTTGCTGAGTCAGAGCAGCTTTGGAACTTCTGTATATATCCAAAACAGAAGGCAGCTGTAATGAGGTCCTGTGCCCACTATACCCAGAAGGAACTAGATCTTGATTTTTTGTTTTCAAGTTTAGGCTTTTTTCTGATTAATTATTAAATGTAGAATCAAGGATTAATTTTACTTTATTGATTAGATAATATTTTTTAGAGCTTATTAACAACACTACCCTTATACTATTTGTTAAAGCTTTAATCTTTCTTAATTCTGACTTTTTTTATAATTAGGTGATCTGCCTTGCTTTATACATTTATTCTTTGATAAGTGGGAGGTGTAAAAACTTAGACCATTGCTTTGTGAATTTTTTTCTTTTTTACCTTTATCTACAAACAGCATCAGGTAGAATACCTTTAAAATATTTGATTATTATTTAGCTTTATGATTGTATAGTTCACTTTAGTCTACAAGAGAAGTAATCTGTGAGTTAGAATATTTTTTTGTAATGGTGCACTTGAACTATGTGTTTCTTAGAAATGCATTGAATGTAGTGAAGAATGATTTGATAGCAAAAGTGGATGAACTGACCTGTGAAAAAGACGTGCTGCAAGGGGAGCTGGAGGCTGTGAAACAAGCCAAAATGAAGCTAGAGGAAAAGAACAAAGAATTGGAGGAAGAGCTTAGGAAGTAAGTTTCCACTATGTTGTTCTAAACCAAGCAGTCTTTTCCATCATGCCACAGCAGTTAGACGTGTAACCCTGAGACTTGGGTGTAACCCAAGTCACAAAGGGCACAGAGCTGCCTAGGGTAGGGTGAACTGCCTGGCTGACTGCCTCCGCTGTGAGCAGACCCTTCCATTTATTGAATATTATAATTTTTTTGTGGATGTAATGATGTGAAAAAGTTAGAACTGTTCAAATATTGCTAATCAGGGAATTATAAACATTCATTATTTTCCTTTACCCAGCTTTAATACCTGTTTTTCTGAGAACAGTGCTATGATAACATTCCCCTAAATGAAGGCAGCTAAATACTCTCTTTGGAAAAAGAAAAGTAATCATTTCATGGTCGTTAAAATTTTTGACTTATTTTTTTATTTTTTAAAATGGTGAAATTAACTCAAGATAACATGTTTTGATTTTTTTCCCTCCACTAGAGCTCGTGCAGAAGCTGAAGATGCAAGGCAAAAAGCAAAAGAGGATGATGATGTAGGTTTATAATTTTGGACTTATTTTCTTGCCTTACCACATGTTAGTATTTCGGAGAAACCTTGTTAATTAGGCTTTAGCTATAGCATTATAAAGATGGGGGGGGGAGTCAAAATCATATTTGTAGTCACGAATAGGATAGGTCATGCTCCCACGTGGTATCCATATGCTAAGCTTTCTAGGTACATATGGTGTGCTCATTTTTCCTCCAGAGGAAACTATTCTCCTGTATTTATTGTTTTCTTAACTTAAAAAAATAAATTATCAGACCACACATACACATATCTTTACAAGGTATTTAATTTTCATTCTTTTTGTGTTTTCTGTGTATTTAGTCTTGGAGATTTGCTTCTTCTCAGTGTTAGGTTTTTGATGTTCACCTGTACTGTAGTACAGTGCTGTAGTTCCTTCATGTTCACTGCTTTGTAATATCCCATTACATGAATGTGCTACAATCTATGCATCTGTTTTCCTGTTAATGAATATTTAGGTTGTTTTCAGCTTTTTACTACCACAAACAATGCTGTTGTTTTGAACATTATAGTGCTAGGCTCTTGGTTTTTCCAGAGGATTTCCAGGGTTTTACAGGGAATCTAGTAGTGAGATTGTTGTGTTGCAAACTCAAAATCCTTTGATCTTTTGTTGTTTGAGTTTTTTTTTAAGGAGAGGTTAAATTCTGTGGCAGGAGGACGAAGGAGGAGACTGCTGAGGGCTAAGCTAAGTTCAGCCTTTTTCTTACAGTCTTGTGCCTTTCATCTTTGATTCAAAATGTGCATACTACACTCAGCAAAACGAAAGCCCTGCAGCTCAGCCAGCCTTTCCCTCCTGAACAGCCTATAGAAATCAGCAGTAGAAGGAACTTGACTTGAGCATTCCCTTTTGGGGTCTTACCATGCTTAACATCCCCATTCTCTCTAAGAATAATTCTGGTTAACACTGCTGTCACCGTCTTACATTTCTTTTGGTGTTTTAGTGATGCATAGCATTGAGTACCTTGGCCAGTAAGTTTACGCTTTACACTAATCTTGAGTGTGTATATGGATTGGTGTTTTTTTTTTTAAACTCTTTCAATTTATTTATTGTTGAGGGGGAGGTAATTAGGTTTATTTGTTCATGTATTTCTTTTTAATGGTGGTGCTGGGGATTGAACCGAGGACCTCGTGCTCGCTTGGCATGCACTCTACCACTGTGCTGTACCCTCCCCCCGGATTGGTAGTTTGAGATAAATGAACCTCTGCTGGTACTAACTTGTAACTAATTTCTGAATAACTAGCATTTGCTATAGAACATAAATTTAAAATACTGTTGTGAAAACAGCACTTCCAGGTGAGCATATTAAATCTGTGGAGATAACAGCTTTCTTGGTTATGTTCAAAATCTGCTCTGTTCTCTGTATTTCCTTTATATGTTCAAATTTGTGTATTTATATTCAGAAATTAAATTGTTTACTTCTTTTCACGCATAAGTAATTATTTAAATCTCTTTGTTGATTTTATTTTTATAAGGCTATCTTTAAGTTATCCATTAGATTACAAAAATTAAGGAATGTTAAAATCTTAAAGACTTTTGCTTAAGTCTGAGCTCTAACACTAAAACCGACATAGGCTCCCTGAGTGATCTGTAGCCTTCTTCTCATTATAGAGTGATATTCCCACAGCCCAGAGGAAGCGGTTTACTAGAGTAGAAATGGCCCGAGTTCTAATGGAGAGAAACCAGTATAAAGAGAGGCTGATGGAGCTTCAGGAAGCTGTTCGATGGACAGAGATGATTCGGTTTGTATGAGAAGTACCTCTGGTGTTTTTCTACTTATTGTTTCCTAGGTTTGAATAATTCTTCATTCAGAACTAGAGTCCTGTCTTGGGGATCCAAGGCCCTTGCCCTGTGTACTAGGAGAGATCTAAAGAAATACTGGCAGTTAATAACAGAGTGTGATCAAAGTGGGTGCCTTTTGAGCCAGTGGGGGCTCTTGGAGAATTGTCTGTCCCACAACCTCTAAAAAGCAATTGTTATTACTTAAATGCTGGCCTGTTGACAAAAATAATCAATAAACAATCTTAATAGGAACAGAAAAGGGTTTTATGTGAGCAAGACTGAAAACAGTACCTCAGGAGACAGCCTCTTAGATAACTCTGAGGAACTGCTCCAGAGAAGCATGGTTTTCAGCATAGTTTTATATCTTGTCAGAACAAAGAACATCAGACAAATGAGTGATACATTCCTTCAAGGTTTCAAAAAAAACCCAGATCCATGTGTACACAGCAAGCCAGTATGGCTTTGGTACCTGGAAAGGGAAGTTTATCCATTGAAGGAGTACCAGCTTTGATGTCTTAGGAAAAGAAGGCATTTAACCTTTATTTTAAACATGGACATTCTTGACTTCTGGTCATTGCACCCTTTTGTTTAATAATTAAAGCAGATGTACAATATGTTTGATAGATCACAAACAGGCTTTAGTTAGCATAAAATTTGAGTTAAATTATGTTTAAACAAGAATGACTTCCCATAGTTCAACATGTGAAAATTTCTTTCAACAATTATTTTTCAAAGGAATGTAGAAATTGACACTACTTTTGCAATAATATCAGGAAGAGATAAAAATTTCGCATATTAAATAGGAAATCAGTCATTTTTACTCATTGTCTTCGTGTAAAATAACTCCTGATTTTTCCCCCTTTCTGACTATTCATGCAAAATGCAACTTCCATTGACATCTTTGTCAGTTGGATCTTAAATATCATGTAATGCTGCCATCTAACGGTCACATCCTCAGTAACAGCATGCCTTACTTTAATTTTAGAATTAAAATTACTTGAGAAATTTATGAATTAGATGCCCCCTAATTTGCCCATATTTTTGAGTTTGGATTGTCCCACCAGATCTACTAACAACAGAGCACAGTGACATACTGTTTTAAAGTTTATGAACATATTTTCTAACACCTAGCTTTTATTTCCTTATAATTAAATCATTTACTTAATACTAATGAATGAAACGTATTGCATAGCAAAGTTGCAGTATGTAAAAATTCTAATTGCTTATAGCTGCTAAGAAGGAAGATCAGTGTTCTAATATTTATTTGTTGGGCAAAGAAACTAATGTACTAATAAGTATATTCTTATTTCCAGCTTTTAAAGGATATTAAATAAATAATAAATATATTAAAAAATGAGGCATATAGGCAGGCTCCACTTTTAATTACTATTTTTAATTCTAGAAGCAAATGATAGTCCACAAGTGAAAAAAATGGGAGCTTTCTTTTAGCATTCTCCAGTGAATTAGAAGATGTTTTAAATTTAGTATTAAAAAAAATAAAAGATCTCTAAGGAGGACATACAAATGATCAATAGGCACATGAAAAAATGCTCTGTGTCACTAATTATCAGAGAAATGCAAATCAAAACTACAATAAGATATCACCTCACACCAGTCAGAATGGCCATCATTCAAAAATCCACAAATGACAAATTCTGGAGAGGCTGTGGAGAAAGGGGAACCCTCCTACACTGCTGGTGGGAATGCAGTTTGGTGCAACCACTGTGGAAAACAGTATGGAGATTCCTCAAAAGACTAGGAATAGACTTACTATATGACCCAGGAATCCCACTCCTGGGCATATATCCAGAAGGAACCCTACTTCAGGATGACACCTGCACCTCAATGTTCATAGCCGCACTATTTACAATAGCCAAGACATGGAGACAGCCTAAATGTCCATCAGCGGATGACTGGATAAAGAAGAAGTGGTATATTTATACAATGGAATACTACTCAGCCATAAAAACCGACAACATAACGCCATTTGCAGCAACATGGATGTCCCTGGAGAGTGTCATTCTAAGTGAAGTAAGCCAGAAAGAGAAAGAAAAATACCATATGAGATCGCTCATATGTGGAAATCTTAAAAAAAAAAAAAAAACAGAAATAGACTCATAGACATAGAATACAATCTTGTGGTTGCCAAGGGGGCGGAGGGTGGGAAGAGATAGACTGGGATTTCAAAATTGTAGAATAGATAAACAAGATTATACTGTATAGCACAGGGAAATATATACAAGATCTTATGGTAGCTCACGGAGAAAAAAAACGTGACAATGAATATATATATATGTTCATGTATAACTGAAAAATTGTGCTTTACACTGGAATTTGATACAACATTGTAAAATGATTATAAATCAATAAAAAATGTTAAAAAAATAAAATAAAAAATTAAAGAAGTCAGAAGGGGGCTCTGATAGTGATGGCAAAATTCTTACAGTCTTACTAAATCAGTTTAGAATGCTTTACAGAAATTTTTTTTGTTGAATTACCTGTCAGTGCAGTTTATTTTTTATCCTGTTCAGCTTTCCAGTGATACAAAAATTTTAGTCCTGTGAAAAATGGCCCATCAGAACTAGTTTTTGAGATCTGGAAATGTTAGATGAATGACACCTTTATATAGAGACAAGGATTTATAAGGCAATATTTTGATAAAAGGGAGAGTTGAGGGATATCGCTTCAATAAAAAATTTGAATATTAATATTCAGGCTTGTTGGCTGGCTGTCCAGCACAGATGACAATCTTGTCTCTATCAATAGACTGTGCTCCTTGCAGGAGGGATGGTATTTATTTACATTAGTTGTTTTGGCCTTAATGGACTGACTGACACATGATAGATCAAAATAACTGAACTTGTTGCCTCTCCTCTGTGTGTTTCATGGACTTCTTGGGTCCCTTGTTCTTCAGGTAGAAAGCTGGAATGCCTCACTAATAACACATTTTTTCCCTTCTTTCCCTCCCTCCCCCTTCTCTCTCTCTCCCCCTCCTCCTCCCCTTCCCTTCTCCCTCCCTATCTCTCCACCCCTGCTCTCCTTCCCTCTTTCCCTGTTTCCCTTTCCTTATAGAGCATCAAGAGAAAATCCAGCCATGCAGGAAAAAAAAAGGTCAAGCATTTGGCAGTTGTAAGTATCTAAAAACACATAATGACATTAGACAGTACTTTCAGACAAGAAGTTTAGAGTAAAATTTATTTTCAAGAATAATTTTGTGTCTTCTTACTTTCTTTCTTAAATTTAGGGTATATAGCTAAACTGAACTTTTTCTTTTTGGTATGTAGTGTGCCAGATCGGTAAGGCTGTTCTTGAGGACAAAAAAAATCATACTGTTGTAAGCTGCATCACGTTGCTTATGCATTTGGTGGAATCTTCTGCTAAATTAAATAAAATAATGGGGAATTATTCTTAGAGTTGTTAATTTCCTAGATTCCCCATTAAGTAAGTTACTGATTCACTGGTTGTGTGATTGTAAGGAGCTTTATAAAGTAAAGAATTAGTGTTTTTGTTTGTGGGGTTTGAGCAGTGTTTAAGTGTGTGTTTTGGACTTGAACTATGTTTGTGCCAGAAGTACTGTGCTTAAAACTTACCCCTCTTTGGTGAATCAGCTATTTAATAGAAACGATTTTTTTTTGAGTAAATGTAAAAATTGTTATTTAAATTAAGGTTTAAGAAAATGTATTAAGATGTGTGTTAAAATAGTAATAGATTTTCTTGTACTTTATTATGACAGTTTTTAGAATTGGCTTACTAAGCTTCTGTCCAAACTATGCAGCTATAACCTTGCTGTTTAACAACCACTGTTATATTGCACCAAGTAGGAGCTGGCTAAAGGAACCATCTTATTTTATTTCTTCATTACAAGAAGTTCCCTGTACTTAAGAGCTTCTTCCTTTCATTATGAGAATTGCTAATTAAAGAACAGGATCTGCCATTCTAAGCAATAGTTTCACTTTCTTGAATGTCTGAGTTTGGCTGTTTGTTACCGCTAAGGTTGTAGTGTGACTACAACCTTTTTGCCTGTCTCTCACTCATTGCCTTGTAAAAGCTCGCTGGAATTTGTAGAAAATTATAGATTGTTCTTCACTGTGCGTATAATACATACACACATGCACTCACGCACACATCCTCTTATTTTCATTTTAGCTTCAGCCGACTTTTCAGCTCCTCAAGTAACACTGCTAAGAAGCCCGAACCACCCGTTAATTTGAAATACAATGCACCCACTTCTCATGTTACTCCTTCAGTCAAGAAAAGAAGCAGCACCTTATCTCAACTCCCTGGGGATAAGTCCAAAGCCTTTGATTTCCTAAGTGAAGAGTAAGTATTTTTGAGACTAGGGTTTATGCCCCAAATAACTTAATAGTTCGGAATATTCTTACCCCTTATCAGATTAGCTGTGAGGGTTTGGATATGTCTATAAAGAAACTATTCCTGTAACTTGGCTACCTTGAAGTAAAGTAACATATCTCAGAGACATTAACATTAAATTATACAGTGTCTGTAAAGTGTCTGATGCCAAAGTAATGTTTTCTTGTTATTTTTGCTGTTTTAGCAGAGTGGGGGAGATGAGCTGATGTTATATTCACTTAACTAAAAAGGGAAATTTCCTTTCCTTTTAGAACTGAAGCTAGTTTAGCCTCGCGCAGAGAACAAAAGAGAGAACAGTATCGTCAGGTGAAGGCGCACGTTCAGAAGGCAGATGGTAGAGTGCAGGCTTTTGGCTGGAGTCTGCCTCAGAAGTACAAGCAGGTAACGTGTGAACACGGTAAGAGCATCTAGCAGGAGATGCAGGGGGAGCGGAGTGTGCCCGATCGTGAAAGACTCGAAATACACATCCGAAACCCGCTCATTTCAAGCTGCATGGATATGGCCCATGTTTAGAGAAGTGTTGAGGGCAGTGGTTTTCAGGCTGTTTTCTAGAGCCCTGCAGGTCAGAAGAAATGCCCCTGAGTCTGTGAGGAGGGAGAGGGGTCAATAGGAGGAGTGCATGGGGCTTGAGGTTATCCTGTTCTGTTTTAATATTTGAAGATTTCATTAAAAAAAAAGCATCTATTGTTTAAAATTTTTAAGACGCCATTGTCATGGAACCTTTCAAAGTTAACTTAAAGCTCAATTCAGGTCGTCAGGAACTTGGCTTGTGCATTCCGTGTTCCCTACCTCAGACACAGGCACGCGTGCCCACATACACTCACTCCCACAAACATACAGGCACTAACAGCTGCGTGAAGTAGTGTATCTTTTCTGAGCTCCCATAGCATCTTATTTTCTCTAATTGCCATTTGATTTTGTGCTTATTTTTCAAATAAGAATGACAAAATTAAATGGAACTTGATTTGAAAGAGTAAATATGTAACAGCACCGCTTGCCTATGTCTCAGTGGTTCTGTGAGTTCACTTCTGATGAGTCTTACCAGTGTGTCTTTCTCTCCCCTCCCCAATTGTTAGGTAACCAATGGACAAGGGGAAAATAAGATGAAAAATTTACCTGTGCCTGTCTATCTCAGACCTCTAGATGAAAAAGATACATCAATGAAGGTAAATTAATTTTGAAGTTAAAGGTAGTATTACTTAAACTGTGGTTCAATTTTTTTTAAAAAACCAAAAATATTTAAATTCTGTTTCTGTGGGCAAGGTTATTGTCCATTTTGTAGTTTTATACTAGAGCTCTTTGGACATTAGAGATCTCTATTTGTAATCATTAGATGTTTTTAAAGAAATGTGAAAACTTCTATATAGTTTTAGAAAGAAAATGACTTAACACCATTTTTCTGTTTAAACCCAAAAAAGCTGTGGTGTGCTGTTGGAGTCAATTTATCGGGTGGGAAGACTAGAGACGGCGGTTCTGTTGTTGGAGCAAGTGTATTTTACAAGGATGTCGCTGGTTTGGACATAGAAGGCACTAAACAGCGAAGTGCATCTCAGAGTAGTTTAGACAAGTTAGATCAGGAACTTAAGGTAAGTATGTGCACTCACGTTTGACCTGGTTTCTGAGACTATTAGTTTAGCTCTTTCATCTAAAACTGACTTCTGGATCCATTACTTACTGTGCCTTTGCTTACTCCTCACCACCCTCCCCACCTTTTAAATCAGTTTACTGAGGTATATTTTACATATAATAAAGTGTACACTCGGAATAGGTATAATTCAGAGAGTTTTGACAAATGTATGCACCCAGGTAAGAGCCATCACAGTCAAGATATACAATGTTTTTTTTCACTGATGTGCTTTAACTGTTAGTTTTTAGTCTTCTAATTATTATTGAAAGCTGGTTATCTGGAAATAAACTTGGAATAGTATTGGCCTTTGCTGTAACAGCACAGCCATATAAATATTTATACATACATATCATTTTAAACATTCATTTTCCTTACTTTGCCTATGCAGGAACAGCAAAAAGAGTTAAAAAATCAAGAAGAATTATCTAGTCTGATCTGGATCTGTACCAGCACTCATTCAGCTACAAAAGTTATCATTATTGATGCTGTTCAACCAGGCAACATCCTAGACAGTTTCACTGTTTGCAACTCTCATGTACTGTGCATAGCAAGCGTACCAGGTAAGAGTGACCTGTGCTCCTCTCTTCCCACTGTCCACTTCTCCTTCCTGGCAGGAGCTGATTGGTTCCTGGTGATACAGTTGTGCACAGCTCTCTTGTGGAGTTGATGTTCTAATTGGTGAAGACCAAAAATAAAGTAGAAACAAATCACTAAGCTAGATATTTTCAGTTGCTGTGAAGAAAATAAAGCAATGGTAATGTGAGAAGATGCATAGGAGGCAGAGGGCAAGGGGCTATTTACATTGATTAGTAAGGTAAGGCCTTCTAAAGTTCTGGATTAAGTGTTATCTGATGTTAAAACATTGGTTTAAAAATTAAAGAGGTTTATGATATATCTACACATCCATAAGAAGGAAAGAGATTCTAATATATGCCATAATACAGATTAACCTTGCAAACATTTATGCGAAGCAGACTAACCCCGACAAATATTGTATGATTCTACTTATATGAGCTGTCTAGAGCAGATTCATAAAGACAGAAGTAAGTTAGAGACTACCAGAGGCAGGGGTTCGGGGAGCAGAGAGTTATTGTTTAATGGATGCAGGTTTTCTTGTGGGGTGATGGAAGAGTTTTGGACATAGATAGCTGTGATGGCTGCACAACTCTGTGAATGTAATTAATGCCACTGAATTGTACACTTAAAAATGGTTTTAAAATGGCAAATATTATGTAGTATATATGTATGTATATTTTACTGTAATAAAGTTTTTTATGTGATAAGAGTAAAAACAGCTTTCTAAATAAAGGGAACCGAAGAGATTTAACCTTTATATGGTAAATGCTTAGTTTTTAAATGTGTTAACTAATATCTTAAGGCACTGTATATACCTTGGGTGTATTAATTTTTAATAGTGGTGAAAGTTGATGTTTCAAATAGTAATCTTGATTATTAAACATTTTTTCACTGACTTGTCAGATATACTTAGATTTCGTTGTTTTTAACCTCAATTGGTGGCTGCTGAAGAGCTCATAGTGAGAAGAGAAGTGTCATTTCTGACATTTTCATGTTTACTTGTGCTTGCATTAATAAGAGTATTATCTTAATTTTTTAAGCTACTTTCTCAATTTGTGAATTGAAACTTAATTAGTTTAAATAAAATTTAAATTGACCATCTTGGCAGTATATTTGAATAGCTATGTGCCCTACATTCACACTCTTATTTCAAACCTATAGTTTTCTCCTATAGGAGAAAATGCTGTTGATAGGAGTTTACTTAGCTATTGAAAGAAGGTTTATCTTGTTTTTCAGGAGCACGAGAAACGGACTACCCTGCAGGAGAAGAGCTTTCAGAATCTGGACAGGTAGACAAAGCGTCTTTATGTGGAAGCATGACAAGTAATAGTTCAGCAGAGACAGACAGCCTGTTTGGAGGCATCACGGTGGTTGGTTGCTCTGCAGAAGGTGTGACAGCAGCTGCCACTTCCCCTAGTACCAATGGAACTTCTCCAGTGATGGAAAAACCACCAGGTATACCTGTCCTCCTTAGATACCATCTGTATAGAGCCTGCGCCTGTCCCAGATGCCTCATTAAGGACTTTACTTAGATCTTCAAGTAACAAGGATGAAAGAGGTTGAGAGAAGATGCTGTAATGAATGTTAAATGAAATCAAGAATTCTCAATTTCATTATATAGTGTGGAGAAGGGGTTGGTGGAGTGAAAGTTTTTAGAGGAGGGGTTTGTTTGGGGGAAATTATTGAGAGAAAAGCTCAAACTTGGAATAATTTGCATGTTTCATTTATTTTGTAGAAAAGGAAGCAGAAAATAGTGAGGTTGATGAAAATGTTCCAACAGCAGAAGAAGCAACTGAAGCCACAGAAGGCAATTCAGGGTCAGCTGAAGATACTGTGGACAGCGCCCAAGCTGGCGTGTACACGGAGCATGTTTTTACAGATCCTTTGGGAGTTCAAATCCCAGAAGACCTCTCACCAGTGTATCAGTCAAGGTATATACATGGGTTAACAACTTAGAAAACCAGATAAGTTCTCACATAAAAGGACCCATAATGATCTCGAGCAGCCAAAATATTCCCACTCATTGACATTGTTGTGGCGGATTTCGATGTTATTACTTATTTCCAGTAGGTCTTCATCTGTTTCTTCTACTGCATTCTCTCTGGACATATTTTCCCCTCATTTTTTCTTTACTCCTTCCAACTTAAAAAAAATCTTGCCTATGAAGTATATTAGTCAGAATCTTCCCAGTCACTTTCTTCTCTGGTATGATTTTAAAAAAATTGTTGCACTCACTGTCTTCCATTTTATGAATAACTCTTTGCCATTTTAACCCCTACCCTTACTCTCACTCCACACTGTCAGCAAAATTGGTTATTTAAGTTTCCCATGTGGGTTTGAATGACCTTTTGAATTCAGTTTTCCTACAAACATTTTATTAGAAAACAATTTGTCTTAGGCTTTTCCTTCAAAAAGTAGGTTAATCTAGGCCCATTTAGCAAATTCTTTAATAGTTTCTCTTGTCTTCTCTAGGCCTTATAGGAAGCTGACTGAGAATCTGTCTAAACTGGAGAATTTTGCAATTTAGTACTCTTCCTCATAGTGAAGAGAGCAACCAAGTGTTTATTAACATTTAAATGTTAATTTAAGAATAAAGTCATCTTTTTAGACTTACTGATTTGTTTGTTTTGAGTTTGATTGTCCACTTATATATTTTTCACTAAATGTCCTCTGGCAATCCAAAAGAAAGAATGTTTGGGATAGAGTACAATCATGTTTCAGCTCATTAACTTATTTTTGAAAATTCTTTATAATTCACCTTCCTTTATTCACAAAGGGGCCATCCTTCCTCCTCTCCTGTGGAAGAAACTCATAGAATTCAAAATAACTTTTAAGAGAGAACCTTAACTATAGTCTGGATATTAACTGCTATATTTCATTACCTTGCCTTAATTCCCTTACCTGTACCTTGGACCTCGTAGTATGTTGATAATTATTTCTGGTACAGTTGCTGAACTGTATATATATATTATCCATCCTTCCTTCCTTCCTTCCTTCCTTCCTTCCTTCCTTCCTTCCTTCCTTCCTTCCTTCCTTCCTTCTCTCTCTGTCTTGCCTGCCTGCCTGCCTTCCGTCTTTTCCTTTCTTGTTAAAATGTTTAATATAAGCATTTAACTTTGGCTTTATTGGAATTTTAGTGTTTTATTTTTAACTGTAAACTAAAATAAAGAAATGATCTATCCCTGAAAACTGTAACTAAACATATTAAGATTTTTTTCCCTTTTGTCCCACCTTTTCCAGTAATGACTCAGATGCATATAAAGATCAGTTATCAGTATTGCCAAATGAACAAGACCTGGTGAGGGAAGAAGCCCAGAAAATGAGTAGCCTTTTACCAACTATGTGGCTTGGAGCTCAGAATGGCTGGTAGGTACCAATCCTTTTAATATTAGAAATCTTATCTTTTACTTTTGCTTTTAAAATCAGAAGATACATAAAATGTGGTACATACAAATACAAGCGAAAAATGCCTATTAAAGCGAAGAATTTTATATATACACAATTCTGAGGTTATGTTGCAACTATGTCATAAGCTGGACTTGGACTTGCATTGGTTCTGAATGGTAAACCATGTGTTTGTCACAGAATGTTCCCTTTATATAATATTCTTGGAAGAAGAGGCAGAAAAAACTTTAAAATCTGGGTGATCTGGAAACAGGAGGTCCTGAACAACAAGAGACGGAGAATTACTGATGCATAGAAGGTTTATATAGGCTAAAGTATGTTCAAGGAATACCAGGGATTAAACTAACCCCTAGACTGCAAGAAGGCCCAATTTTAAATATGACTTCTTAGCAGAGTTATTAGGAAAACCAGCACAAATTACAGTCTGAAAGCTTAGGAGATGATAATGAACATTATATCTTTTGTTCACTTTGTAGTAATGTGGGGAGTCTTACAAAATTGTGTTTCCAAGGGTAAGCAGGGTCACTAGTGCATCTACAAAATGAATGTTTGGCAGACTTTTTCTGTGAAGGGTCAGATAAGAAACACGTTAGGCTTTGTGACCATATGATCTGTGAAGCAGCTCCTCAGCTTTGCTGTCGTGGTGCAGAAGCAGCCATTGCATTGGCAATATGTAAGTGAACTGGTGTGGCCATGTTCCAGTAAGACTTTATTTATGAACACTGAATTTCATATGACTCTATATGTCATGGAATATTCTTCTTTTGATTTTTACCAACCATTTATAAATGTGAAGACCGTTTTTACTTGTAGACTGTGCTAAGACAGGTAGATGGATGGGCTGTAGTTTGCCGATCCCTGATATAAACCACTCTTGTCTTTCAGAAAGTTCTAGATAGTGTAGTAGAAAAGTAAGCTTCTGAGGCGTGGGGTAACCTGAAACTAACCAACCATGCGCTGGTTCTGGCTCTTCACTCTTCGTGTGTTTGTTTGTAGCTTATTCCTCTGCCATAGGTCTCCCCTTACTCTGGTCGTCGTTTTTGCCTCAGATTTTTATGTTGCTCTTCTTTCCTCCTGAGGGAACTTTGTGTTCATTATTAGGTATAAGCAACTGCGTGATGTTCTCTATGCCTTACCAGTCTTGATTTTGTTCTTGCAGTTTGTATGTCCATTCATCTGTAGCCCAGTGGAGGAAATGTCTCCATTCTATTAAACTTAAAGATTCGATTCTCAGTATTGTGTAAGTTTTATTTTAGAAATTCTTCCTTTTAAAAATAAGTACTTTGGTATAAACTAGATTTTAAGACTATTAAGGTTAACATGTACTTCATGACTAAATCAATACTCAGATTTTTTTTTTAACCCTCTTTATGAGTAAGATTGAAACTCTAACTGGAAAGTAAACCAGAGAACTTTAAATAGAAGAGAAAACTTGCCAGGTTGATTCCTCACCGTACGGAGACTACCTTGGGGGAGAAGCCTATTAATACTCAATAATTTATATTTGTTTTAAAATATGCCTTATACTTTGTGAATATGTTGACTAGGGCATTGATTTACTAGTTCTTTTCTACATGTTGACTATCAAAAGTCAGTTTGTCTCTTAAGTTCACAGAGCTGACTCTGTTAGTTCCACTCAAGGTGTGTGTCTCTGATCTGTGGACCTTTTGTTGACAGTCTGCGATGAGGGGAGGAACTTAGGCTAGAAAGTGAAACAGCTCAGTCATGTGCTGTTTATTTAGTTCAGCTACTATTTTCATAGCGAGACGTTCTCAGTGAAGAAAAGTGTGTGTCCACTTAGGTTCTTGTAAGCTCCTCACGTATCACGGACTGGCCTTCTAGGAACCTCTGAACTAGTTCAGTAGCATGTGGTGCCTTTCCTGTTCCCGAAAGGAGAGTTCTGAAATCCCTTTTCCTGTTTGCAGACACGTGAAAGGAATTGTGTTAGTGGCCCTGGCTGATGGTACCCTTGCAATCTTTCACAGAGGAGTTGGTGAGTTATGAACATATAATGTGCACTAAGTTGTTGCAAGAGCATTTTCAAGCAGGTTGGCTTCTTATGTTTTAAAGAAGTGATACTTAATAGGAGAAAGAATAAAGGTTTAAACTGAATACTAACCATGTATGATGTCAGTACATATGTGAGTGCTGCCTGGAGCCATACATTAATAGTATACCTCAGTGAAAATCTGTTTACCATAATAAGCAAGTAGTCCTCATGGTCGTCTAAAATAATGTGATATGGAGGCATTTATTTTTCATTCATATACTTCTTCAATTAGAAGAAATTTAGTGAGAGGATATATTTTCTTCTGTCCAGCATTTAAAAAATAATTTGTATCCACTTACATTTGGAATATTTTTTAAAAGAATTTTTAATTGAGTAAGGTTTAATCATTTTCATGTCACATTATTTATATTTTTTCCCTTTAAATTAGTATTCCTACCATCTATAGACAGAAGGATGGTGATGTCAGAAAACTGCCTTGAATGAATTAAATTAAGGAAATTGAGCATGTTTCACTTCATTGCTGTTTGGTACATAGATCAACCAAAAGTGATACTTCCTTCCCTACCTACTAGGTTGATAGATCAGGGAAGATGATACTTAGGTGCCTAGACATTGCCGGTTAATGATTCCATAACAAAAAGAAAGGCCTGTGTTTTACCTTGTTTAGCCCCTTTACACATTTTATCTGAATTTAGGAGGGAAATTCTATTGTCATCCTCATTTATAGATGAGGAAACTGGGGCACAGAGTGTTTTAGTCACTTGTTTGTGGTTGCTCAGCTAGTGAGTATAAGAGCCTAGAAAAAATGGAATAATAAATGTTTTGATAAACTTAACCCAATGTTATATTGACAGAATAAAACAAGGTTAAATGTAAAGTCCTACATTTGAGTTCAGAAGAGTAGGGGGAGTAGATATGTCTGAAGAGTAAGAATTACCGAAAGGTTGATGTCAAATTCAGTATGAGTTAGTTAATGTCCAGAGCCTCATACAAATTAGTGTCAGAACAAGGCTGGTGATAACCCTGCTCCACTCTGGTAGAAAGACAATGTTAAATGGACCTGCACAAAACGGAGTTAGGGTGAAGGGTCCATAAATATGGTGTGTACAAAACACAGGCCAAGGATGCTTGGTTTTGAAAGGAGGAGACATAGGGCAGTAGCAATGAAGTGGGATTGGATTTATTCTGTGCTTCCATTGGGAAGACTATAGTCTGATGGGTGATTACATACAAGGAGGCAGACTAGATATGGGGAGTGTTTTTCAGATAATTAAAACTTTCTGAAAATGGAACAGCTGCTTTGTGAGACAGCATGTTTTCTCTCACTCAAATTGTTCAAGCAAAGCAGCTTCCAGTAGTTGGTTCTCCTTTGTATTTCTGTTATCACTAAAATTAGTATGTATAATTCCTAAACTGTGAGCAGTGAGTTGCCCCCGACTTTTACTCAGGAAAGTACATCAAAATGCAAGTGAGTGAGAGATTATCCCCCAAATAACCTCAAATCCATTCTAGTTCTTAAAATATTATAAACTGGTAGCTTATTACTGATTTATCACATCACTGCTGTTGAGAGCATGGAGGTCCAGGTACTGAGTGATAGGTTGGATCAGATGACCTTTGAGGTCTCTTCCAGCTTTGCAGTTTATAGAACAAGATAACTCAATCTCTGCAAATAAAGATAGACTGAATACATGGTATTTGAGAGTGCTTCATCAATAAATTTACTTACACACCCAAATAGAATGTTTCTTGAGTTAAGACTGAGTAAAGGGTGGTATGCATGAACTAATAATCTATTTCTTATTTTAAAGATGGGCAGTGGGATTTGTCAAACTATCACTTGCTAGATCTTGGACGACCTCACCATTCCATCCGATGCATGACTGTGGTACATGACAAAGTTTGGTGTGGCTATAGGAACAAAATCTATGTAGTTCAGCCGAAGGCTATGAAAATAGAGGCAAGTTAACCCATGTTTTCTGTACTTATTGAATTTGTATTACCTGAAGACTCTCAGACTAATTATTTTCAGCTTCTTCAGAAATTGTCTTCTGATTCTGTGTATTAAGGAAATTTCAGTGATACACTGACTTCTCAGCTTTCTGTGTTACTTTACCTCTCTTCCTGTTTTTGACGATGAGGATGGGAAGCAGTTGTTTTAGGGGGTTTTGGGGTTTTTTTGTCTGTTGGTTTTTTTAAGGAAGGATTCACACATGAATGTCTAAATGTGTGTCGAAGTATCCATAGATGCATATTATTTGAACACGTCATTCTTGAAATGTTTAGTTATGTATAGATTGTTTAGGAGGACGACTCCCCAATTCTACCCCACTCCATATGTATCCAGGCAAATCCATATATGTGTTACAGATTGAGGAATAAGATTGCAGTGGGAATTTGTTGTAAAAACAGAAAACTCTTAGCATTGTTTTCTTAAAAAAAGTTATAATACGTAAATTTATTCTAGTTGTTTTTAAAAAGAAAAACATCAGGAAAACTTTAAGGTGAAAGTTCTTATCCCTTTGTCCTAAATCCTATTCCCAATCCTAGAAGCTCCAAAGTTAACCATTTAGTGTTTATTTTTCAGCTGTGTTTCTTACATGTATGTATGTGTGTGTGGTGTGTATAGTTCTTCATTTTGTTTTGCACTCTAGGATAATAGCAGTTGGGTACATAAGAGTAAACAATATTAAGGCTCCTCTTTTAATATATAATCTGTCAAATACTTATGCAAATTAGCACGGTTTTTAAACACAAACCCCAACATAATAAAGTTAACACTGTAATTGAACAATCTTTCCTAGAAATCATTTGATGCACACCCCCGGAAGGAAAGCCAAGTGCGGCAGCTTGCCTGGGTGGGTGATGGCGTGTGGGTCTCCATTCGTTTGGATTCCACACTTCGTCTCTATCATGCACACACTTATCAACATCTGCAGGATGTGGATATTGAGCCTTATGTAAGCAAAATGCTAGGTAAGCTTCCAAAGCATTTTATCTTTGTCAGCTAAAGAAAATGTTTTATTTTTAATGGTCTTAAATGCTGGGTGGAGCCAATGAATAAGTTGCCTCAGGAATAGTGAGCTTTTATCCCTAAAAGTGTCAGGCAGATGCTCCATCTACTATGTGGTTCTTGATGGGAACCTGGGATTGACACCTCTCTTATTCCCCACATCTGATCCATCACCAGGAACTGTCAAGTCTTCCCCTAAAATATGTTAAATCAGTTACATCTTTATCTCTACCACTATCCCTGTAGGCCAGGTCACCGTCCTTTCCCCAGCTGGATAACCATGAACCTCTTAATTGGTCTCCCTGTCTTCACTCCAATCAGTTTTCTGCATAGTAACCAGTGTGCAGATGTCACCGTGACATACTTCCACTTATGTAATGCCAGCCACTTTTAGAATATTTGTGCCTTTAGGTGAGGCGACATTTTGTGACATTACTAGAAGGGCTTAAATGGTCTGGACCACTCTCCTTGCTCACTGTATTCTGCCCACACTGACCGAAAACTCAAGTTCCTTCCCACTTCAAGGCCCTCACATGTGCTGTATCATCTGCCTGAGTTGTTCTTCTTAGTCCCTTTTTACTTAGCTTTCAGGTCATAGCTTACATGTCACATCCAGAAGAGACCTTTCCTGATCTCCCGGTTTGATTTAGGTCCTCTCATACTTTTTCTTCATGGGCTTATCATTACTGTGGTTGTACCAGCATCATGTGATTCTTGTTTACTGTCTTTCTCCTCCACAGACCTTACGCCCCAGGAAGGGCAGGAGCTATCTCTGGCTTGTGCCTTGCAGTGTCCTTGGCAATGTCCCAGTCCAGTGCTATATGACTGTTAGGGCTGTCATGAAGCATTTCTCTGTGAAGAGAAGTTGGACTACATCTGTGGTTTTTTAACCTTTTTAGAATTGTTGCCCTCAGAAAACCTGATGATAGCTATGTGACCTCTCCCTAGAATAAGAGATATATATACATAGTCACAAACTAATTTCAGCAGTATACTTTGACCATAGGTTAAAGATCTCTAGCTTAGACTGAATAGTATTTAAGGTTCCTTCTAACACTGTGATTCTATGGCCATACTCCCATTTCTGGTAAGTAGAACTTACGAGTGACTAAGTGCTCTTTGTCTTAAATCTGTTTTGCCTCTCAAATCCCTGAAAATAAGATCAGTTAAAAAATTCACTTAAAATTAAAAAGTACCTTTATTCTCCCTAAATTGTATGCATATGGTATCCTAAAATTTCTAAATTGCTTTAGATCCAAATATGTAAACAAGGAAAGAGTGTAGGTTTTATTAGCAAATTCATTTCTTACCTATGCAAAGATATTTAAGGCAAGCCAGAAGAACTCTTTCAGCTTATCAAATGGAAGGACATTTGATTTCCCAATCTAGTAAAATTCTGTTTTTGTTGAGTTTTTTTGTTTGTTTTGGTTTGTTTGGTTTGGTTTTGCAGCTCCCTAACTAAATCCTCTGTATTTCCTGATCCATAGTATCTTCCTTCTGAATGATAATGTAATGCCAGCCACTTTTAGAATTTCCTTTTTTTGTTAACCTTGAATTGTCAGATAGGTGATAAAGCCAGATGAGAGTTTGCCTTGATTGATATGCACCTTCAGGAAATACCCATCTAGCTCTGGTCACATTTCCTATTTTATATTAATGCAGGTACTCTGAAGGGCTTGGAAGATAAATATCATCTACTCTAGTTTCTCAATAAAATGTTTTCTCTCCTGCTGTATAGGTACTGGAAAACTGGGCTTCTCTTTTGTGAGGATCACAGCTCTTATGGTGTCATGCAATCGATTGTGGGTGGGGACGGGAAATGGTGTCATTATCTCCATCCCATTGACAGAAAGTAAGTACATTTTTAGCTAACTGTCACAGTGCAAATAGGGGAGTTGTGGGGAATAATCATGTGTGGAATTCAGGTAGAATGAGAAGTTTAGTTATTGGCAAATCTATGGTAATTCAGAAAATCAAGCTGATGGCAAAGAACTATTGTTCCTTCACTCTTTCTGTGAAACTTACAAACTCGAGCAAATGTATCAGGACCAATATTTATAATTTGTGAGAAACTCTTTTTTTCGTTTCAGGGATCACAGTCCTATTTCATCTTTTAAGTAATGGTTGAAGTCCATTTTTCTTTCAGCTTTATTATACCAGTATCTAGAAACACAACCTAATTACCCAGTAATTTTTCATTATCTCTGTGGCAGTTAGTTCAGGATATTCCGTTTGGCTTATTGAGGTTTGGAAAAAGTTGTGGGAGAAGTTTCTTAGGAAGTCAGCCAGCCCTTCCTTATGTTGGAGACAGGCTATCTATCCTGTATTTGAAAAGAGTGTGAACAAAATGTACATTGTATGTTTTTTATATTATGCTCCGCTATTATTCCTGTGAACAAAGTCTACATTACGTTTTTCATGTTATGTTCCATTACATTGATCATTCATTAAATAAGTGTTTCTGTGTTAAAAATTCATGGGCAGGGAATGGTCTGAAAACAAGTGCTGTAAGTTCATAAAATAAGTTAAACACCTCAGAATTTTTAGAGGGAAAGGGAAGAGGACTGGATGGTGGTATATCTGGAGCTTTTAAAGAACCTAAATTCTTAATCCCAGCTGTATTTTCTGCAGTTACTTACATATCTCTATGTGTAGGCTACTTCTTATCTCCTAAGAGATTCCAGGATCCTCAGAGTTCATTTCAGTTCTTTATAAAAGAGAGTTCCATTTTAGCATAGTTACTTGCGCAGGATTTAGGCAGTCCTCCCCAGTAAGTTCTTATTCACTGAATTGCTTTATAATTAGGAAAAACAAAATCACAGTAAAGAAAATTGTCCTTTTTGAGCACAGCTATTCTTCAGAGGCTTTGGTAGGAACTTTGTGTGTTACTTGGTATTAGACCCAGTTGGGTTTTGTTAATTTAGTTAGGAGCTTTGAGCTTCTGGCTTGCCAGATAGAAGATGCTGAGAGGAGTGGCTCATAGTAACCCTTCTCCTCCCTGTCATGCACCTCTCCATGTCCCCTTTCCTCCTTTCTCACTTTAGCCGTAATCCTTCACCAGGGACGTTTACTGGGGCTGAGGGGTAAGTGCAGATCCTGAACCAAACTCTTCTTCCTGGCTTCTCATGGCCCCCGTGAGGCCATTCTCACGTCTCTAGATACCCTCCTGAATGTTCCTAAATGTCATTCACTTGCAGTCACTGCATTGCCGCAGGTGTTTGTTTTTTTAATGTTTGTTACATGGCCACCAAACTACTGCTCAGCAGCTTAGTCTATTTATCATCCTTTGTTGCAGCTGAACTTTCTTTCAGACTTTTGTTTCCCCTCCAATAAAAAACACAAAACATCTCTGAAAACTGTCATTAATCTACATTATGTACTCTTATTACCAATCATGTTTCTTTCATTCACTTACTGGCTTATGGAATTGGGGATGTTTTGTGAGTCTGGTCATTCTAAAATAATTCAGCAAACCCATCAGTCTGGTGTAAATAAGAGCTCCTCAGTTGTACTTGCTGGATCCTTTTAAGCACAGCTTTTTACCATCTCTTAAGGGAGATACTCTTAAGACAGGAGAAAAATTGGAAGATAAGCTATAAAAATTTTACTTTAAAATATATCTATTTTTTTACTTTAAGCTCTATAACTGGTTGGTTTTCTAAAGTGAGGATTGAAAAATAAAACAGACATACCTAAGAAATCTGTTTTGTTAACTAAAAAATTTTTTTAAATTAATATGTGTGTTTAAAAAGTAAACTTAGTTATTGCTAGACTGGCAAAATCCCCTACTCCATTTACTGAGGTACTTAAAAATAACTAGCATGCTATGTATCTTTTTTTCCAGCTTTGTCTTGAATTGGCATTGCTGCCATTGTTTTATCTCAACTGGCTGTAGCTTTTAGATAATATAAGGATTAACCAGTAACCTCTTACATTATTACTGTTTTCTAGGGGATAATATTTAGTGTTTGGTTTTTCTGTTGCAGCAAATAAAACCTCAGGAGCATCGGGAAATCGTCCTGGAAGTGTCATCCGTGTATATGGTGATGAAAACAGTGATAAAGTAACACCAGGGACATTTATACCCTATTGTTCAATGGCACACGCACAGCTTTGCTTCCATGGGCACAGGGATGCTGTGAAATTCTTTGTGGCAGTTCCAGGTGAGTTAGTTTATTCTGTTGCATGTCCAGTTGATCTTTGAACTGCACGGATCCACTTATACACAGATTTTTTTTTCAGTAGTGAACACTGCTGTACTGCAAGATCCATGTTTGGTCGAATCCATGGATGCAGATTTATGAACACGAAGGAACCACGAATATGGAGGGCCAACTGTTAATTATTGTCAGATCAGATTTTTTTTAAACTAAATACTAGAATTACAGATAATTCCAAAGGAACGCATGAAATGCTCTATAAAGGAAATATGAATAAAGTGCTATAGTGATACCTGATTCAAGTTGTTTGGAATCTCTTTTCCAGCCCCAAAACAAACTTGATTTTTATTTAAGAGACTTCTTTACTTTGAAAAGCAATGGCATTATTTTGTCACTGCAGAATATCAAAAAATGATTTTGACCTAATAAAGGAGATCTCTAGAAAGAAGCCCCTTATCATCAAAGCTGTATTCAGGAGGAGATAGAAAGTGTGCTCTCGGACCTTTACCAGTGTTGTGGCAAAGAGCAGTGGACTAGGAGTCTGGGGATTTGGGTCTTGCCACTCGCCTTGTTGTCTCGAGCAGGTTGCTTAACCTCTGATACTCATTTCTTCATTTCCTAAGTAGATGTGATTAATATCTTCTCTACCGGCCTCATTTGTTGTGAAGACTAATGAAAATGCTTTGGGAACTATAAAGCACCATCTCGATGAAAGGTGGTAGTGGTGACGTCCAGTGAAAAATGTCTCATCCATTGAGACTACTAAAATGATATTACTGACGGTCTGTAAGCAGGACCTATGTTTTGAAACTTTCCCCCTGTAAGAGGCAAGTTTAGGAGTTAGACCAAGTTAAAATCTGGCTTTGCTACACCAACCGTGTGACACTGGACATCGTTGTATCTCAGTATATTAGTCAGGGTTCTACAGAAAAACAGAACCAATAGGGTGTGTATGTGTGTGAGATCAATTTAAGGAATTGGCTCATGTGATTATGGGGGCTGGCAAGTCTGAAATCTGCAGGGCAGGTTGGCAGGCTGGAGGCCAAGAGAAGAGCTGATGTTTGCACCTCGAGTCTAAAGGCAGCCTGGAGGCAGAATTCCCTTTTCCTTGGGGGACATATCTTTTTCTCTAAGGCCTTCAACTGATAGGCCCACCCACATTATGGAGAGCAATCTGCTTTGTTCGAAATCCAATTTCAGTGTTCATTGTGTCTTTTAAAAAACCCTTTATAGCAGTATCTGGGTTGGAGTTTGACTAAATGTCTGGGCACCATAGCCTAGCTGAGTTGACACATAAAATTAACCATCACTTCTGCAACTTGTTTCTTGTTTTTGAGATTTGTTAATATTTATACATAAAAGTCTAGTTCATTCACTTAACTGTGGTATTCTAATATCTGAATAAATGTGCTGTCTTTTATCCATTCTCCTGGGAATGGACCTCTGAGTCCCCCTGCTACCCCCTCCACCCACCGTGAAAAACAATACAGCAGTAGTCCTTCTTGTGCATATGGGAAAGTCTTTTCTGTTGGGTAAAATCTGGAAGTAGAATTGGCAGCATTGTTGTTTGTTGACCAGTTGGCCCTAAGGATTAAACCATTCAGGTTGATCTTATTTTCATATCACTGTGCTTTTGCTTCTGTGGCAGAACTAACTAGTCACTAACAGACGTTATCTCTAGCAGTCTTGATTTCCTCCAGCATGAGGCACTGTGGAAATAAATTAAACTGTCCTCTCCATGTCCAACATAAATTAATTTTTTATGAAGTGTATCACATCATGGGACTGTGTCCTGCTGTCTCGTAGAGGCATGATCTCTATAGTTTGACCAAAAGACAGCAGATCTGGCAAGGACAAACACTCCACACTCAAAGCTTTCTAAGAGGAATGTCATAGAGATTATTCTGTGAATAATATTTCAAGGTTTCTCTCTATCGATAATTTCATGCTCAAGAATTCCACCTTAGAATTTAAATGTTAGAACAAACGAAATAGTTACCAGTAACTTTTATTTGCATAATTAAATTAAAAATAAGATGTAGTTTTCTTAAATATGAGGAAGACCATGGATTTAAAATCAGTTCAAACATTAATTATGAATATCCAAACTTATAAGGCTTAAGCTTAGGACCCTTCTGTCTCTTTCCACAACACATTTACCCTTTTAGGGTAACACATTTACTCTTCCACTGTCCCTTAGATGAAACAAGGTAGATTATAATAGTCTGAAGCAAGCAGCTAAGACCAGCCTAGCCATATACAGACCTTGTACTGGATTCTGGACCTATTCCAGCTTTGGTACAAAAAAGACTTTACTTAAGTTTTCCGAGTGAGCTTTTGTGACCTTTATAGATGTTTTCTGATCATGCAGAACCTTCTAACATTGGTTGTATTAAAATATGCTCTTTTGTTTAGCTTTCTGAAAACATTCAGAAAAAAATGAGTCTTCCCCACCCCAGTCTGCGATAAGTAACAATCACCTCTGTTTCTATATAAATAGGTCAAGTCATCAGCCCACAAAGTGGCAGTAGTGGTGCAGATCTGACAGTTGACAAAGCAGGGCCATCTCCACAGGAGCCTGGCAACCAGACGCCCTTGAAGTCTATGCTTGTCATCAGTGGAGGAGAGGGCTACATTGACTTCCGAATGGGTAAGTCATTGGTTCTGGGAGCTCAGTTCTGTGGTGTGGATTTTCACCCACAGCAAACAAGAAACTCTGATAAGTCATTTCTAAGAGGTTTTCTATGAAGTCTTTTTTTTTTTAACTTTTATTGAGTTATAGTCATTTTACAATATTGTGTCAAATTCTAGTGTAGAGCACAATTTTTCAGTTATATATGAACATATATATATTCAGTCATGTCTTTTTCACTATGAGCTACCACAAGATCTTGTTTATATTTCCCTGTGCTATACAGTATACTCTTGTTGATCTATTCTACATTTTAAAATCCCAATCTGTCCCTTCCCACCCCCCGCCCCCCTGGCAACCACAAGATTGTATTCTATGTCTGTGAGTCTGCTTCTGTTTTGTATTTATATTTTGCTTTTTTTTTTTTTTTGTTTTGTTTTTAGATTCCTCATATGAGTGATCTCATATGGTATTCTTCTTTCTCCTTCTGACTTACTTCACTTAGAATGACATTCTCCAGGAACATCCATGTTGCTGCTAATGGCGTTATGTTGTCAGTTTTTATGGCTGAATAGTACTCCATTGTATAAATATACCACATCTTCTTTACTCAATCTGTTGATGGACATTTAAGCTGTTTCCATGTCTTGGCTATTGTAAATAGTGTGGCTATGAACATTGGGGTGCAGGTGTCATCATGAAGTAGGGTTACTTCTGGATGTATGCCCAGGAGTGGGATTCCTGGGTCATATGGTAAGTCTATTCCTAGTCTTTTGAGGAATCTCCATAATGTTTTCCACAGTGGCTTTCCTTGCTTCCCTCTCCCACTCTTAATGATTCAGATGTCTTCTTTTACAATTTTGTGTTTATTCTTTTTGTAATTCATGGCAGTTATCTCCTTTCCAGTTATGAGTTTCTCATTTTTGTAGCATCCTGCTTCTTTTCTGTGTAGAGTAGACCTGCCAATATTTCTTTTAGCATGGGT